TATTCTATGGACGAGATCGAACCAGCCTCTTGCAAAACCCATTCTATTCGTAGCGTGTGAACATGTGACCCATCCGACCCAGTTGCAACCCAACAAAAACAACAACTATGGCAACACCTATTCATGATCTTTGAGTCTGTAAAAGACTCATTTCTTGCTGTTTTCCTTCTTTCTTTCTGCATAAAATCATTGGTAACATTTTTACCAACATTTTGACATAAACAAAACAAATTTTAGTCAAGTAATTTTCATTTTCTCATTTAAAGTTTCGGTTTAATTAAAACCCGACAAAACTTTGAATCACAAAATCGAACCATATAAGAGCAAATCTGAGATATGAGGCTATTGGGTTTGAAAGAGCACTTAAAAACAAGATGTAAAGAAATCGAAGATTGGTTTAGAAGCCTTCAACCGACGAAAAATCGAAAATTTGAGTTTGGACTACAAACTCATATTTCTCTCTCTCAAAACTCAACGATTTTACAGGTTATTTGAACCATTTCTTCCTTAGCCAATACTCTTTATTTATATAGATAAATTTGGCTTGTTAGTTAAAAAATGGGCAAAACAAGTTGTCATCTCCAAACAGAGTTGTATTATTGGCAAAATATGTCTCTCATCTTTTAAAAAAGATGACATTCGCCACCCTAAACTTTCTAACTTCTACATTTAGCCCCCTTTTGACGTGATATTTAATTTTTTCTGTCCAAAACGAGTTTAGGGGCCGTTTACCTAAACACTTACCTAGTAAGCACTTATCGGTAAAATTCAACAATATCGCTTACTTACTGGGCAAAATTTTATTCACTAAAACGCATCGTATGCAGCAATTTATCCCGGTAAACGCTAACCATGGTAAGAGTCATCGTCTTCACTTACTGGGTAGGACTTGAGATTCTTCCCTTCACTCTTACCGGATAAGATTCTTAGTCCTTTGCCATATTCATCCCATAAAATAAAATGACTTGGTAAGTACTTATCCAGGTAAGCATTTGATAAAGGGCACCTTAAACCCTAAACACTTTAATTAAATGATTTATTTAGCCCCTTTCAATTCATTCATTTACATTTTTTATTCAATAAAATAAATCCAATTTTATCTTATTTTTATTTTTTCCCTTACTTTTCATTATTTCCTATTTTAAGATTTTTACAATTATTTCATTCAATTAGACAATTAGCCACATAAATACTTTTAGCACTTTTAGTTAATTTATTTACTTGCTCGATATTATTTGGTCATCATTTTTTTATTAAAAAAAATAAACAAAGAATCCTATAATATTATCTGTTTATTTTTATATTTAAAATTTTGGATTTTACAATTTATATATTCCCTGCCAGAAGACTTGGTGAACACTCTCGCATGATGTATCTTTAAGGTAAGTAATGTACAATAATAATTTGTTCAAAACAGTACCATATGCAACAATTTACCTGGTAAGCGCTTACCGTGATAAGAATCGTCGTTCTCACTTACCGGGTAAAACTCTTGGTCATTGTTTCGCTCTTACCGGATAAGATTCTTGGTCCTTACTATATTCATCGGTAAGGTAATGTGACTTAGTGTTCACTTATCCAAATAAGCGTTTGGTAAACGACCCCTAAATCGCACTATTGATTAGAACCCACTGATCATATGAAGAAATCATGAACACATTGATTACACGAAGGATCAGAGAGATCAACCATGAAGGTTTTTTAATCGCATATTTGAAGGGTTTTTCGTTATAATCGGCAAGTAATTAAAGGGTTAATTTTCTAATCTATGATTTTGGAGGGATCAAATTTATAGATGAATGGACGAATTTACCCCTTCTTCACTACATTTATTTGTCAATAAAAGAGACCTGATCTGTTATAAAAAGGAAAGTAGATAGACGTTGCTCGTTAAAAATTCCTTTGAGGGACGTTAGTCGTTAACTTTTTGTAAACCACAAAGACTAAATTTACATTTAACTCTATATATTATCTTAATCGTTGAAAATCACATGCCAAACTAGCATTTAATTTTTGAATTGCTACAATTGAGTAGCTATTGGAGTTGAATTTAAATTAATTTTAATATTTTATTTTAGAAAAAATTATAGCATTCGGCTAAAATATTCTAATATTTTATCTACAAGTATATTTTATTTATTTTGTGATTACTAGAAGGGTATTCACACAATGCAGCGAGATACATCTTGATTTTAATGTTTCGTTTTTTTGTCTCAGTTGATGTTATAATACAGTTTTATGTGGTTTTGGGAAAACTAATGTTTTTATTTTTTAATAAAATCTAAATATGAAGATATATCATAAAAAATTGAAAGAAAATATTGATATTATTATTAAACTAACTATTTAAAATTTACCATTTTTTTTTTGTGTATTTCTCTAATTCATTTTTTTTATTTTTAGTTTAATAATATAACTTTTATAAGTATAATAATTAAGTATTTTGTTAGAACTCAATTATTATATTAATTATATTTTAGATTTTTTATATTTAAAATGAGATGATTATCCTCTATTTAATTATGTTTATCTGCAGTTAGTTACACGAATTCAAACATGAAGTTTTAATAAGTTGTATTTATGCACAATTACTTATAATCTTGAATTTTAAGTAATATACATACATAAACAGTACTTATGCATAAAAAATGATTTTTAAGAGTTTTTGTCAAAAAAACATGCTTTATAATATAGTATAGATTATATATAATACAAGAAAAATTACAAATTTGGTATGATATTTATATTTATTGATAAGACGACCCACCAACTTTCTCGACCCATAGATCAGGATGTTGTATTGATATCCGAATCAGTTTGTATATATTTCGATTAATTTCAAAGACTCCATAAAAGACACGAAAATCCTGAATGATTTTGAAAGACTTGAATTAATATCCTTACCCTACAAGACTATTTTTTATTTATTTTCTTTTAAAATATGTTAATGGAATTCCAGTAGCAACCGACAACAACATATCCATCGGAGATAAGTCCAATAACAAGAAAGTTGTTCAACTCTCTTTATATATGCTTCGTTTGATTGCATACTTAAAAGGAACCACTGACATCTGCCCCCTGCCCCTGCCCCTTTTTGTATATCTTACGCTAGACAAAAACCCTCAATCCCATGATTAACCTGGGCGGTTTCGATGATAAAGGAAGTTATTGTGAGAAACATATGAAAAGATTTCCATCATTGAATCAATCTAATTGAATGTCAACACTAATAAGGTGTACTGGATCAATTCTCTTCTAAAACGCAATTCATGGATGGACATGAGACTAAAACTGATCAAAGGTTCAGATCTTTTCCTACGTTTCTCACACGATCCTTCTTCTGATGAACCTTTGGGTGACAATGTTAGGACTGAGAAATCAGTATTAATTGTATTCGTCTTGAAAGTTTATAAATAGTCTAATTGTAAAAAGTCAGCGTGTTTGACTTTCTTAGACTAGTTTGACTTTGACTTTGTATTAACATGTKGACCATATAAATAGGTTGGTAATCTTTGTAATTAGAAAGAAGAGGAGCTTAATTGTAAGATTACATTCATAATAGAGAGTTGACTGAGATTTACAAGTTTGACTTTCTCTCTCAAGTGTTCTTGATGTTCTTAATGATAAATCTATGAATCTGCCATTGATGTTATGAAGATATGAAGAATTGATCAGATATTGTGGACACACAGACAATGATGTATCACCTTTCATCCAAGGCTTTGAACCATCATTTGAGTTGAGTCATCTCGACAACACCCATGTATGGTTTTGCATATGGGTTTCGCCACTCTGATCTGAGTTCTCTTCATCAATGTTTTGTAAAAGGAACCAACATCAGATCCAACGATAGTTGATGGTGAGCACAAGCGGACAAATCCATAATTTTTTTTAAATGAAAATACTAAATAGTTAACATAATATAAAATAAAACAAAAATAATTATAAAAAGTACGTCTTGTTAAAAATGACATGAAAATGATTTGATGCGGCAACCTCTAATTCTACTTGCAATGATGTTACATCCACTAACTTTTTGTTAACTTAAAGAAACGTGCATCAAATTAAAACGGGTGTACCTTAAATGCTCCCAACTCTTTTTCCAGTGCATTGACATGAAAGATCGGATCGGATGTAAAACACAAGGGTGGTGTCTGATTGGTTTAAGTTTGGGCTCCAAAGGTCAATGTACCTAGAGGTCTCGTGTTCAAATCCAAGGAAGAATAAAATCTCCTTGTGGCCACGGAGGTTCAAATGCGGTGGCTCCGGACTACTCACAAAACAGATGGTCACCCTATAATTAGTCGGCTCGCATAACGGATTAAATATTCAGGTTAATAAAAAAAAAGGATCAGGTGTAGGTATTGCACTCCCTCTAACTTCTTAAATCCATCCTTACACATTAACGCACACCTTTATGGTATAAGTTTAAGGTTTTTTACACGTACAAACACATCACGTTGTGGCTAAAAGTGAAGGAAAAAAACCCATTGGTAGGTATGGCTTTTGCATATTTGTTAAAAAGAAAATGATTTATTAAATGACCATAATACCCTTTTTAGTTTTTTCAATTGTAAAAATATCATTTATTTATAAACGTGTTAGTCAACCGCAACGACCATGATTGAGAATTGTTTGATCATTTTTCTCTGGATAAGAGACAAAATAGAGAATTTTTATGAAAGCCTACCCTATATAAAAAACACAAACGTGTTTTTAAAGATGATACATTTCTAGAGCAACGGATTTTTTTTTTGGTGATTAACCTGGATATCTAACCTGCTATGTGAACCGACTAATCCCAGTACGACAACCTGCTTTGCAGATAGCTCGGAATCACCGCATTTGAAATTTCGTGGCCGGGATTTTTTATTTCTCCTTAGATCTGAACCTGAGATCTTTCGGTACTTTTGACCTTGGAGTCAAGTTCAAACCAATTAGGCACCAAACCCTTATGGTTAAAGCAACCAATTTAAATCACCCAAAAATAAAAATACATTTATTAATTATTAATTAATTAATATATGGAAATTAAGATCGATACAACAATTTGATTAATGGTTTTCAACGAAGTGGGAGATCTTTTGGATCAACTTATCGGTTTGTTCGGAAGTTTTTGGGTCGACATCAATGGCGATCTTGTTCAGATAAAAGCTATGTCCAACTCCATCACTTACCATCAATTCAACCTTCTTTCCACCTTTCTTCATGGCTTCGTAAAACTCCATCTCCGTCTCTATCACAAGATCCTGCTCCGCCACACACAGCAGATACGGCGGAAAATCCAACTCCGGCAGCGGCTCCGCCATCGGACATGTTATCGGGTGGTCTTTCGTGCTTCCTTCCGGCAACCCCAGTTTCAGAAACTTATCCAACATGTCCAGAGTCAAAAAAGGAGTTTGTGGGTTTTCCAATTCTGATTTGCTTCTAACCGATCGGAGAAACCCAGGGTGAATCGGGATTGCTCCGGCGAGTTTCAGTGGATGGAGGTTTTCTCCGGCTGCCTTTTTCGCCACCTGGTGTACTATGTTCCCACCGGAGCTGTCTCCGATGAGGAAAACACGGTTGAAGTCTCCTTTCGAAGACAGCCAAGGTTGGTGGGTTTTATGGTTTGCCAAGTCTTGTAGCCAGAGAAGGGTGGCGTAGCCGTCGTCAATGGCGGCAGGGAGGCGGTGCTCCGGCGCACGACGGAGGTAGGTGCTGACCACTATGGCTCCAGCTTCACGGGCAAGACGTGTGTAGATATTATAATACATGAACCAATCGGCTTCGCTGATACAAAATCCTCCACCATGGAAATGCAAGATTATCGGCAGCTTCTTTTCCTCTGGTTTCTCCGGCAGATAAACTCTGACACGAAGGCCGTCATCGTCGTCGTTAATGAAAAGATCTTGAACAGCAACGCCGTCGATGAAATGGTGGTGTGGTGGTACGGCATCGGACATGAACTTGAATTGTGGTGGTCCGGTCCATGTCCGATCAACAAAACCGTCGTCGTAGAGCGTGAGCCAGCCGGAAACTTGGTCGACGATTTCTCTGTGGACAACCATACCTTTTTTTTTTTGTAAAGGGTTGTTTTGAAGTGGAGTTGGATGGGATTTGTGTTGGTGGTGGATGGGGGTTTTATAGGAGTCTAAAAATAATTTCCAAACATTTTTTTTATAATTTAAATAAAAAATCAAAGTTTAGAAGAAAAAAAAATCATTAGCTGTTAGAATTTGAGAAGATAAGAGATTTTTTTTGGGTTAATAAAATGTTTTTAAGTTGGATTTCATTAAAATACCTGAGATTTCTTATGTGTTTGGTTTGTATGATTTGAAATTAAAGGGCTGTATATCAGAATTTTTATTAAGTCTTTGTATAGATAAGTTTGTTTGTCCGGATAAATTTGTCTGTCTGATTAAATAAGTGTTTTGTTTACTTTTTTTATCTGAACCAACAGTCTGAATAACATAAATGACCCATTTACCCCCAATATTAATTATTTAAACATCAAAACAAAAAATCATAAAGAGGCCAAAGATGGGGTGTCTCATGTGGGAAGGAGGTGGTGCCTTGAATAAAGGGTAGAAGTGTTATTTTTGTGGCTGAATGAAGACAACACACCATTTCTATATGTGCGATTAAGTCATGATCTGTGCGAATAAGCCAGAAGTAAACAACTCAAATGAGTTGTGCGAATAAGCCAGATAGACCAATAAATCTAATTAAGTCGCAAGTAAACATCCCCTAAATTGAGTTTAATTTTTTTTGTAAATAATTTGTAAAAATAAATTATATAAATAATTAAATTATCTTTTATTGATTGGTTATTATTATTGTAAAACAAATGTTTTTAACATATTCTAAAACAATATTAAAAAACACAGTATATAAAATCCGATGAAATATCAACCATCTTTTATGAGATTTAAAATCCAACGTTTGTGGATTTTATTGAATTCCTGGGATTCCAATTCCAGACTTTCTATTAAACAAAACACAAAATTGAAATGGAATCCAATTTCAAATCCCACTAAAATTTCACAAACTAAACAAACCTTTATAAAGTATGCAGTTTCCAATCATATCGAATCCTACAAATCTAATCCCACAAAAAGTAAGGTATGCATAAATTTTAACTTATATATATATATATATAAATATATACTAGAAAGGTACTCATCATGCAATGCAGCGAAATACATCTCGATTTTAATGTTTCGTTTTATTTTTTTTGTCTCAGTCAATGTTATATTACGGTTTTATATAGTTTTGAGAAAACGATAATGTTTTTATTTTTAAATAAAATATAAATATGAAGATATCATAATTTTTTTGAAAAAATATATACTGATATTAGCACCAAACTAACAATTTAAAATTTTCTCGTTTTTTTATGTAATTTCTTTAATTCATTTTTTTTTGTTGGTTTAATAATATAACTAGTTTTATGCCCCGGGCGTTGCACGGTGACGATAATTTTTTAGAAAAAAAAATCAAACTAATATTGAAATATTACAATGTCAGTTCATGCATATATCATTTTTTTTATTAGAGTTATAGAATATAAATATAATGATTAATTTATTGACTTTCATATTTTTTGTTCATGTTGATATCCTCACAATTGTTGATATGTTAC